ACTTCGTCATTCCACTTCCTTCTTGGTCTTCCTTTCATCTTTTTCTTGAATATTCCCATTCTCCAGACCCTTTTCGCCAATCGCGTATTTGGCATTCTAATCAAACCATCTAGCACATTCACTTGTATTTTTTTTCTACAGATATGACACCTAATCTTCTTCTTATTTCTATACTTCTGTCTTTGTCCATAATCTTTAGACCCGAAATTCTTCTTACAGTTTCATTTCACTTGCTTGTATTTTCTGTGTCTGTCTTTTACTTAATATCCACAGTTCTGAACCATATGTTAGGGTAGGGATATAGTACAGTGAGTTGAACGTTCTTATTTGTGTTTTTGTAGATATTTCTTATTTGTTAAATAGGTGTTTATTTATTCGGAAGTATAATCTCGTAATAGCTGTTATTCTCTATCTTCTATTACTGACTCAACCCTTTAATCCTCTGTTACCATTATTCCTAAATATTTAAACTGTGTTATTCGTTGTATTATTTGTTGTTCTAATAGGATTTCTATGTTTTGTGGGTCTTCGAAATACTCATACATTTTGTTTTGTTCATACTTATTTTAAGTTTATATTTTCTGAGTTCCTCATTCCATACCTCAAGGTTATGTTGTAGGTCTTCTTTTTTGTTTGCTAACAGTACTAGGTCATCTGCGAACACCAGTTGGTTAATATTTACCCTCTCCATAGCATAGTATCCCCACGTTGTTTTGTTGATTCTGTTTCCACATTCTTTTATAATTTTATTCATTACTACTGTGAACAGATATGGGCTCAACGTTCCTCCTTGTCTCACTCCTGATGTAGCTGTAAATTTCTGTTCTTACATTGACGTCGGTATCCTTAAATAGGCTTTCTATTGAATTTTTGTTCACATTATAGTTGTTCAGTATACTCGAAAAGTCGATTCTATCCACTGAATCAAATGCTTTTGATATATCTATGAAGCACAGATATATTGTTTCGTTATTACCTACTACTCTTTGTATGACTTGTTTTATTATAAATATTGCATCCGTTGTTCCTCTGACTTCCCTGAATCCATGTTTTGAAGTTGTAGATTTTTTAAAATCTAGATTTTTTGGAAATAGCTTGTTTTGGGTATATGTCCTATGGAAGATTTATGTCAAAACCTGCCCGACACGCTGAACAATATTTATAAAAATACCGATGGTTCAGTTCATAACTAATTTTCTAATATTGGAACAGTCGTTCATTCAGGGCCTACCTATAAGGAGAGTTGTATGAAGTAAAGTATAAGAACATTTTTAAAAGAGATGACTCACTGTCATAATGGTTATACCAGACGTAAAACATGAATAGCTGTCGTCGGATGTAATTCGTAGACCATACGTCATCTCTTCATGCCTCTTTTATGGTCTGTCCTTGAATTCTGAGTGTTAAATTTGTAAGTATAAACAGTTTACGAGAGCGGCGAAGATATAATAATCCTTGTTCTCAAATGTCTTTTATACTTTTTACAAGGGAATCAAATGCTTGCGTAAAGATAGTATGCAAAAAACGGTTCTTATGTTATAAATATATTTCCTGTTAACCATGGTACCAACCATGGTATAATATTGAAGGAAGTATAATTCAAACCTCAACACAGTCTTCAAAGCCATGCGGAATGATACGTCTAGCTGTATATTCATTAGAAAATTCTTGAGCTTTAGTTTAATACTGGTATCGTGACTGGGCACTATGCCCTGGTACCGAAGAGTAAAAGAGCAGGAAAACACATCGCACGCTACTGAGGTCGCGGCTTTCCTTTAAATTGACAAAGTATCCCGCCGTATTCAAGGAGATGCCACGTTGACCAGTGACGTGCGATGTGTTTCGCTGCTCCGTTCCATTTCGGTACTCAAGTATATGATTGGATATCAAAATGCAAGAGAGTAGTATAATGCATAGTGTACTATTGCAACGAAGGTATGTCTATGTATACATCTGCAGGTACCTGCGACACCATCAAGAGGCCTAGTACTGTGATCTTACCTAATTTCTCATTAGTAATTATATTAGACGACATCTGCCCTGGCTAAAAATATTGCAGGCTTGCAAAATTCCTCACAAGCGCAGCTTAGGTAGACCAGTATGTCTTTGAATAATAATGAACTTTTTGAGTCTGCAAGAATTTCGGACTCAACTGTATACAAACCTTTGGTTGCTCATGGAAAAACCTCTGACACTTTTTTTGACACACATTGTATAAGTGGTAAGTCGCATACATCAATGCTTCCATATATACAGGATGTTCTTTAATGATATGCGAATATTTAAGGGTGTGAATCTACATGAAAAATCAATGTTAGTTTGCTTCATAAACTATGGTCCAAAAATGTTTCCTTACAAAAACTCGGGGTGTTGAAGTTTTAGGAAAAAAATGGAAATTAATTAATACTTTCAAAACCGCTTCAGATATTTCACTGATGTTTAGTACGTAGTGAAAGTCAATAAAGTTGCATATTTTTCAATGCAAAAATAATTTTTAGCTTTAACAGTGGCGTGCGTACGGCTATTGACTTCTATATTTTTTAAGAAAAAAATGGTACGTCAATGGTTTTTTACCAAATAAAAATTATTTTTAAATTTCCCGTTCAATTTAAAACAAATGATCTCTTGAATTTTTCCTTCGATGCACCATTTTTGAATAAAAAAATGAAAACCGTTCCATTGTCCGAGAAAATTAATGTAATAATTGAAGAATGCAATTTAGCAGTAAATATCTAGTTGCTCTCGAATATGTCACTGGCTTTTGACATCTGACAAGTCTCTGTTATTCAAATCTGATCCCAGTGACATCTTTTTCATTATTTAGTTTTTAAAACCTTGTTAATAATGGTAAATTATTCAAATGCGAAATTACGCATACGGCCTTGCCGACGGTAATGGTGAGCAAGCCTGACGGATTTATCACCAGAGATATTCCGATCTCGCTTTGCCAGATAGCCGAACCTTTTCTAATATTCATCGTCCTCTCGTTGAAACTGGTTCTGTCCGAAAAGGAACATCTGAAGGGAGACCTCCAAGTGTGATAACACCTGAAATTGAGGAAGCAGTGCTGCACGAAGTTGAAGAGCATCCTGAAACGAGTACGAGGAAGATCGCTAGACACTTAAATACTTGCCATCAAATTGTTTGGAGAATTTTAGTGCATTTTTTTGTTATATCCTTACCATATTTTAAGAGTACAGGCATTACTTCCCATTGATTTTCCAAGGCGTGTGACCTTTTGTCAGTGGTATCTTCAAAAAATTACACAAAATCCGTAATTTGAATCACGGACGAAGCTAATTTTCCTCGAAATGCCATGCAGAATTTCTTCAATAATCATTTGTGGGCAGAAGAAAATCCCTATGCCGTAACCGAAACCCGTTTCCAACACCAATTTTCGGTTAACGTATGGGCAGGAATTATTGGCAACCACTTTATTGGCCCATTCTTCTTGCCGGGATGACTTGACGGACATACTTACTTCAATTTTCTTCAACAACAGTTGCTTTTGCTGCTTGATGATGTTTCGTTAGTAATAAAAAACAATATGTTGTACATACATGGTGCACCAGCGCATTTCAGTGTAGCGGTTCGTAATTATTTACAAACTGTTTATCCAAATCGTTGGATTGGCCGCGATGGGCCTCAAGAATGGCCACCAAGGTTCCTAGATCTCAACAGTTTAGATTTCTTTTTGTGGGGCTACCTTAAGATACTAGTGTACACAAGTCCCATTAACACTGTAGAGGAATTAAGAGAAAGTTTAGCTGCAGCTTGTGATAGAATAAAAAAAAACACAAACACTCCAGAGATATTTCAACGAGTGCGCAATTCCATGAGAAGGAGGGCGGAAGCATGCATCCTAAGTAAAGGGGGCCATTTTCAACAATTTTTGTAATCATTTTGTTGGTTTTAATGTTATGTTTATGTTGTCAGTTGTTGTTGTTCATTACCTCTAATGTGTTTAATTTTTCCAATTCAATTAATAATAATTTTGCAAGTTAGACAATAGAACGGTTTCTATTTTTTTACTCAAAAATGACGCATCAGAGGAAAACAATCCAAGTGAGATAATTTGTTTTAAATTGAATGGGGAATTCAAAAATAATTTTTCTTTGGCAAAAAAAAACCATGGCGTAACATTTTTTTCTTAAAAATATCGAAGTCAATACCCGTACTCACGCCACTGTTAAAGCTAAACATTATTTTTGCATTGAAAAATATGCAACTTTATTAAATTTTACTACGTGCTAAATATCAGTGAAATATCTGAAGCGGTTCTGAAAATATTAATTAATTTCCATTTTTTTCCTAAAACTTCAACACCCCGAGTTTATGTAAGGAAACATTTTTGAACCATAGTTCATAGACCAAACTAACATTAATTTTTGATGTAGATTCACACCCTTAAATATTCGCATATCATTAAGGAACACCCTGTATATATACATATTGTCGGTGGATGACGATGACACAATATATGCCGCATAGGAGCAGAAAAGTACCTGATAGTATAGTTCACTAAATTCATAAACGAGGGCTCGAGGAATAAAAATACTTGGACAATTTTTATAGATAATTGTTTTCTCTACAATTTTTTTGTGTCAATTATTTTTGTTTTATTCCTTTCCCTTTTAGAAAAATATGACAAAACGTGATATTTTTGAGTTTTTAACCCAATTAAAACACGGTTCCGCTTCAAGGATATATGAGCCATTGTGGATAGTCAGGGTCTGTATAAATTTCCAGCATTACAGACATTTTTGCAAACCTAGTCTTTATTTTGACCGGAGTATTCATTTCCTTTTAAACAAATCCGAGCATTTCGTATTTGTGAGGAATCGGGCTAATGTACGAGTATTGCGGTATTCGAAGGACATACGTAGTCATACACATTATACACTTTCTCAAATAAACCTTTCTCTAATATAGAATACATCATAACTCAAATTTAAATTATTTCAGTACTAGTCACGTAAATGGCATCTTCTGTATTGCAGGTATGCAGCATTTGGTAATTTTGGAACCAGAACCATGGGGATTACCGCTCAATGAGACATTGCTTCCTCAACATCTGAAAAACAATGGCTACAAAACGCATGCTATAGGCAAATGGCACTTAGGATTCTTCAGGAAGGAGTACACTCCAACGTTTCGAGGCTTTGACACACATTACGGATACTGGCAGGGTTTGCAGGATTACTACAAACATGACACTCATGCCACAGTAAGTAATTTGATTGAACATATTTGTTTGATAGTTTCTCTTACATTTATCGGAAGCAGATATTGAAAATAGTTTTTAGAAATTCAATATTAAAAGCCACTTTAACATATAAAAGTTTGTTTTCTAAAGCACTGGTATTTGTGACTAGTCTTTAAGCGGACTGAGTATTGCTAAAAAGCATGAAACAGCGTTGTATACGGTTGGTATAGTCACAGAAATTCGAATTAAACAGCATATATTTAGCCTGTGTTTAGTTCATGCCATTTTTGCATACTACGTTAAAGCTGGTAGCATGGTGAGTACCTGGTACTGCCCTGATTGATGAGATAGCTTGTGGTTTCCTGCTGCCGACGCACAGTGACACCAAATACCACAAAACTTGACAAACACCTCTAATGTGCTCAAAAGTGGTAAAAACTGTGATTTTTCCATGTAGTTATTTGTTGTTATGTTAATGATACAGTTTTCTTGGTCATTTTCAATTTTGCAAGCGAGTTTTTTGCTATTCAAAAAAGAAATTTTTCCTTTTTCGAGCATGCCTATACATGTGTGCAAATATTTTTGGCACGTAATCCTATATCGGATGCTGAACTAGACAAATGTAATTATCTAAAAAAATATTTCTAAGTAACTACATCCTTCTATCAATAATAGGCATTCAATATTTTGTAGAGAAAATCTAAATGTGAGATGTACTGTAGAGAATTTCTGTCTTTGCTTGCCTAAATATTTAAGTGGATGAGGGTTCTTTTTCTAAGTCCTAGTTAGAGAAATTTGAAGAGGCTTTGAATATATTATAATATTCCATGAAGGATATTACAGATGATTATTTTCATAAATTCATGCTCAATCAGTGAAAGACGATTAGAAATACCAATATGACTATGAGTCTGCGAAAATCTTTGTTTTTAGCTTCGTGTACGACTGTTTACACTACAATTGGTAGAAGGCTTTCAGTAATCATATTTGCACCATGAATTGAAATTTTCCGCAACGAAGGGGGCCTAGCGAAACATTTGTAGACATACATATACATTCTATAATAATGTTACGCACTTTGGCAGGAATGTGTTCTAGAGGTCGTAAATGACGATTCGTATGGCATAAATGCTTTAGTTTGTGAGGTTTAAGCCAGGTTTTTTGTCCATGGCCCTACTGTGCGACGCGGCCCGCCACACTCTAGTTGTTTGCTGGATGCAGGCACAAAAATTAAATTTTCTCAGAGAAAGCTCAACATCGCATTTGAGTGACGAGAAGTTGGGACTATGTTGTGCTTTTTATATATATTTTTTTAAAGAATTGATTTAGAAAAAGAGACTGCACGCCACTGATTCACGGAGATCAAAACTGGTCACATTTTCCTCAAGAACAGAGGTTCAATTACATAAGCATTAATTTAGCTTCAGATTGGCTGTACTAGCTTCATAGATCCAATAATGTAAACTAAGTGATTAAATTTACGACTAAATCATGTTTCCCGCTGTATCGATTTCCTACAGGTTGTACAACTGGAAGCAAACGATATAAGTATAAACTAAATGCAGTTTTTGATACCACATATTATCCCTAATAATGGGTATAAAGCAATTATCTGCTAAAACTGTTTTGGTTTTTTCGGTTCTGGGCTTCGGCCATACTGCGGAGACGTAGGGGTCGGTAGTACCGCGTTTGGCGAACTAGTCATAGGTGGCAGTGTCACCTTTACTTCTCGCTACACTACATTTTCATATTCCACAGTTCACAAATGAAGTAGGTTACGACATGCGCCGAAATATGGAGGTGGATTGGTCTGCTAAAGGTAACTACTCCACCACTCTGTTCACCCAGGAGGCAGTGAAACTGATCAAAGAACATGATACTTCTAGCCCAATGTTCATGTATTTGGCTCATCTGGCACCGCACTCAGGGAATGATGATGACCCTCTCCAGGCTCCTGATGAAGAGATCGCCAAGTTCGCTTATATCAAAGATCCAGAAAGAAGGATATATGCCGGTAAGTAGGACATAATCCCCCTGAACCTTGGTGCGCCAAGGAATATTAAAAGTTAATGGCTGTATGCAGAGATGGACAGAAATTAATCCTGGATCCATTATCGGAAGCAGAAGCATAATTACTGTGAATAGGCAGAAATCAATTTTGTACAGCGACAAGTCCTAAAGACTCCAGCTGCAGACAATGTGATGGAACGGAGACAGACTCAACCTTGTTGCCACCCCTTGAGAAACCCAGACTAAAACTATTAGAATTTCGTTTAGTATTAGCAGTAAAACTGCACTAATTAAGTGACTCACAATGAGCCTAAAAGATTGCATTGTAATAGGAAACCGCTTTCGGACGTCTTCTACTCGAATATGAAAAAAAATCGTCAAGTAGGCTGACTCTGTACTTCCCACTCTACGCTGTCCGTAAAGAATTATGTTTGGCACAAGTTAGCCCTTCCGAGAAAAAAGTTAGCTACGATCATGTATAACAAAAAATTGACATTCCTCCTCCCCCTGAAACGAATTGTTGCAGGCGCTCATAATCGTGACGATGACCAATCCATAATGCACACAGCCCACAGCAGTGCAAAAGCGATTGCCAACTGTGACCTGCGACCACTGATGACGACACTTGTCCATCGAGGGACCACGTCGCACGTATCGACACTCGACTGTAGGAATTAAGTTTTAAGACTAACTGTACGGGAACATCTATGATGAGTGCCTAATATGTACGTGTAATTACTGGGCTTGGAGGCGTAAAAATATACCATCGTCAAAAAATTTAGATACGTAGTTTGAGTGTTTCTTAATTTTTTTTTGTTCTTGGCCTCCGGATCGGTTCCCAAAAGGTTTTGCGTCCTTGGTATAATACTAACATTGTTAAATTCGGTACTTCGCAAGTTATAGGCGGTCATAAGATTGTCGGACAGACCGACAGACAGTCAGACACTCAGTTAGACAGTCAGACATACAGTCAGATAGACAATCAGACAGACAGTCAGACAGACAGTCAGACAGACAGTCAGACAGACAGTCAGACAGACAGTCAGACAGACACTCAGACAGACACTCAGACAGACAGTCAGACAGACACTCAGACAGACAGTCAGACAGACAGTCAGACAGACAGTCAGACAGACAGTCAGACAGACAGTCAGACAGACAGTCAGACAGACAGTCAGACAGACAGTCAGACAGACAGTCAGACAGACAGTCAGACAGACAGTCAGACAGACAATCAGACAGACGGTCAGACAGACGGTCAGACAGACGGTCAGACAGACAGTCAGACAAACAGTCAGACAGACAGTCAGGCAGACAGTCAGACAGACAGTCAGACAGACAGTCAGACAGACAGTCAGACAGACAGTCAGACAGACAGTCAGACAGACAGTCAGACAGACAGTCAGACAGACAGTCAGACAGACAGTCAGACAGACAGTCAGACAGACAGTCAGACAGACAGTCAGACAGACAGTCAGACAGACAGTCAGACAGACAGTCAGACAGACAGTCAGACAGACAGTCAGACAGACAGTCAGACAGACAGTCAGACAGACAGTCAGACAGACAGTCAAACAGACAGTCAGACAGACAGTCAGACAGACAGTCAGACAGACAGTCAGACAGACAGTCAGACAGACAGTCAGACAGACAGTCAGACAGCCAGTCAGACAGACAGTCAGACAGACAGTCAGGCAGACATTCAGAGAGACGGTCAGACAGACAGTCAGACAGACAGTCAGACAGACCGACAGACAGTCAGACACTCAGTTGGACAGTCAGACAGACAGTCAGATAGACAATCAGACAGTCAGACAGACAGTCACACAGTCAGACAGACAGTCAGACAGACAGTCAGACAGACAGTCAGACAGTCAGACAGACAGTCAGACAGACAGTCAGACACACAGTCAGACAGACAGTCAGACAGACAGTCAGACAGACAGTCAGACAGACAGTCAGACAGACAGTCAGACAGACAGTCAGACAGACAGTCAGACAGACAGTCAGACAGACAGTCAGACAGACAGTCAGACAGACAGTCAGACAGACAGTCAGACAGACAGTCAGACAGACAGTCAGACAGACAGTCAGACAGACAGTCAGACAGACAGTCAGACAGACAGTCAGACAGACAGTCAGACAGACAGTCAGACAGACAGTCAGACAGACAGTCAGACAGACAGTCAGACAGACAGTCAGACAGACAGTCAGACAGACAGTCAGACAGACAGTCAGACAGACAGTCAGACAGACAGTCAGACAGACAGTCAGACAGACAGTCAGACAGACAGTCAGACAGACAGTCAGACAGACAGTCAGACAGACAGTCAGACAGACAGTCAGACAGACAGTCAGACAGACAGTCAGACAGACAGTCAGACAGACAGTCAGACAGACAGTCAGACAGACAGTCAGACAGACAGTCAGACAGACAGTCAGACAGACAGTCAGACAGACAGTCAGACAGACAGTCAGACAGACAGTCAGACAGACAGTCAGACAGACAGACAGTCAGACAGACAGTCAGACAGACAGTCAGACAGACAGTCAGACAGACAGTCAGACAGACAGTCAGACAGACAGTCAGACAGGCAGACAGACAGAGAGTCAGACAGACAATCAGACAGACAGTCAGACAGACAGTCAGACAGACGGTCAGACAGACAGTCAGACAGACGGTCAGACGGTCAGACAGACAGTCAGACAGACATTCAGACAGACGGTCAGACAGACAGTCAGACAGACAGTCAGACAGACAGACAGACAGAGAGACAGACAGACCGATAGAAATGAGTGACATGGTTTTTCGTGATGTACATGTCATATAACAGCTAAAAAACGTAATATCCCATATTAGGCGTGGAAAGTAAAATTACCTCTGATTGAAGACTGACGTAGATGTACTCTAGTTTTTTAGACCGGGGATGTACTTCAGCTTAAGACAAAGTTGTCTCAACAGGATGAAGTCCGAAAGTTCCTGAGCACACTACACGATCATCTTTGTATACCTAATTTACTAATGTTTTTTCACTTTGCAGCAATGATTTCTATGTTGGACCAAAGTGTGGGAACAGTCATCGCAGCTCTGAGAGAAAAAGGAATGCTTGAGAACTCCATAATTCTATTCATGTCAGACAACGGAGCTAAGCCTGAAGGCATTCATGCTAACCATGGATCTAACTATCCATTACGAGGCGTAAGTGATCAGATAATAATGAATATATGAAACAACTATATCGATAGATAAAAACCTACCAAAGGTGCAACCCTTTCATTATCCAAATCTATAACCATCTCTTTTCAAATGGCTGACCAGATTTTATTCACTATTCCCAACAACAAGATCAATTAAATCAACTTTTAAATAAACGAAAAGCTGTTATTCAATTTAGAAAATATTTTCCAGACAAAAAATTCTGCATGGGAGGGTGGAAACCGAAACATAGCGGCAATATGGAGTCCTCTGATTAAAAAGCCACAACGGGTTACAAACCATCTAATGCATATTTCAGATTGGTTGCCTACGTTCTATTCAGCTATAGGTAAGTCATTCGTGTCTCGGATAGTGGTATTTTTTTATGCAAATATAATAAAACGTAATTTAAAAAATGAAGCGCCTTATATTTGCATGCGCTTAATTCTGATAATCTGATAAAGCAACAACATAGAATCAGCAAACCTAATTTTAATTAGGCAACGGATATATGAATTGGCAGATTCGACTGCCAGTGTACCGATACAGACCGACCGATATAAACTACAAACCTTATATCGTTTTATACAGGGTGTTTTTAAGGTCATTTATTTTTACAACTTGTCTAACTCAAACTCAACTTGATATACCTATATAAAAGTTGCATAATAAGAGAGTTAGTTTACATTATTAAATATTGCTTAAAAAAATCATTGTCAAGTTAAATGGATACCATTCTGACAAAAACTGTTCAAAATTGTTCCCTTTTGCTCTCGCGCAAAATTTGCTCGGCGAATTTACAAGTTTCGGAAATAAAATCCTGGTGTACACGAATTAAATCACAAGGAATTTCAGTGCGCTGTTGAAGTTCTTCCAGAGTATTTACTGCTCCATCATGATACACCAACTCTTCCAAATAGCCCCACAGAAGAAAATCAAGTCCGAGGAGCAAGCAGACCAAAAAATGGATCCATTGCACCCTATCCATCTATTCGGAAACTCATTATTTAGACGTTCGTATAAAATGTGGTGGAGCCCCATCATGTAGGAACCACATATTCTGTCTCACATTTAGAGGAACATCTTCTAATAATTGTAGCAGATTGTGTCGAAGAAAATCTAGGTCGAGGTGGAAAAAAGTAGGGTCCAATAAGCATGCCATTCACCACGTCAGCCCAGATATTTAATGAAAATCTATCTTTAAAATTACTTCTTCTTCAGCATGCTGATTTTCTACTGCTCAAACATGATTGTTGTGGAAATTGCGCAATCCATTTCGTGTAAATGTGGCCTCGTCTGAGCACAAAAGTAGTTTCGTAAAATCTCCATTTCTGCTGAACTGTACTAAACTGGCTAAATGCAATTCTTCTAGAGCCGCATACAGACATCGCGAGGCGTGCGTCGCAAAGCATATGCACTGAAGAAGGTTTAATTCCATGCTATTCAATGGCAACACGGTGACTTGTGCGATTGTCAGCGCCCATTTTTTGAGAATGCGACACGGTTGCCAGATTGTGCATTAATACCCCGCAACGTTGCCAGCTCTACAAATAAATTTGAGATTGCTATACTTTTATATATAGAAATTTAGTGGGATATGGGAGATGTTATAACAGCATGTGTTATTAACATTTTGCGCTATCTTGACGAATAAGTGCTTTTTTGTATATTAAAATAGTAACATCAATAACACAAGCTGTTATAAGATCACTCATACCTACTTACTAATCTGGAAAGGTTCAGAAGAAAAACATAAACTGCAAATACCTAAATATATATTTATTATATAAATCTCATTCATTTTTCCACAAACAAATCAGTATTAACATTATTATGGTCCAGATGTTTTCATTCCCCAGCCTTTGTCGGCACTTGCATAAATCAAAAATTAGGAAAAATTGAACTGTGTTGATATGTTACTACAATTCACATGTCTTTTTTCTATTAGAACAATAATATTATTGTCCATGGATACCGACAGGAATTTTTCTCAGGGGTGCTGATCATCATCAAGACATAACTTTTTGTGAAATTGTACCTGCCCTTGTACCCAAAACCATGCTAAATATACAAATTTTAAAGTCAAAGTGGATTCACAGAAGAGACCGCGGCCCATCTGACTCCGCCCTATGGGCACCTATGTTATTGTTCAATAACATATGGCTTCGATTTCATTAAAATTATACTGAGCTTTGCATATCAACCCTGCTGCTCTAAGAATAGATGATTTAAAATGAAGTATGAAAACTATTTTGGACAAAAAGCAGTATAAATCATCATAAAAACTTACAAATGTTATGATCTGCAAATATTCTCCAGAGCTGTGCCTTCTGGTTAGCTCACAAGTAATCTCCGATCTTCTGATGATACTCAGGACCTCAGGGGTTGACACCGGCAGCTGAACTTTTCGTAGTGCTCCACTGTTCAAAAAGTTATGTAGAGATTCCAACTGGTATGATCTTCAAATGAGCAACCGCTGCATCTCTGATCTTCCTCAGCAGCTGCAGAAGCCTGGCTACTCACTGGGATCACTTTGGATCACCTTAAAATAGAAACAGTTTTGATTTGGAGTTTGTCTTATAGTATTTACAAATATATTACAGCTTTGATGGGTATTTAAATTTTTATACTTCACACCTCTGAACTAAAGGCATATGTCTCAAATAACATGATAGGGACTTTATTCAATCAAAATGAAATGTTCATGACGCACAACGAAAATGACTTGCGGAAGAAGTAAGGTTATTTTTGCAAAGCACAGCCACAGGAAGAAACCCACCGGAAATTTAAATCTGAGCAATCAGACAACGTCAGTTGTGAATAAACCGCCATTTTTTGAGGGTGTGACATGGCTGTCATATTGTGCACCCGCAACACTGCTTTGTTTCCCATTCGCTCATATGAGTTCCACCCCCTGTTGCAGTGAGGCGGCGTTCGCAACGAACGTATGACGCGAATGCTCACTGTGAGCATACAGGGTTTGTCCGGAAAGTAGTAGGACTCATTTTCTTCCGTCATGACTGTACTTCGGAGCGCGCGCGCACCGACTGGATTCGGTAGAGGGCGTTCCTAGCTAACGAATGAGCGGCTGATCAGTTGTGGTCAGTTGTCTCCGAGCACTTGGAGAGTCAGGACAGGCATTTTCGAGTGACGTGTTTCTGTGAGTGGTGCAAGCCGAAAATGCAGCGTTCTTTAGAGCAGAGGTACGCGATTAAATTCTGTGTGAAACTCGGTACATCTGCGACAGAGACGTTTGATATGATCAAGCAGGCTTACCCAGGTGTTGCTTTAGCAAGAAGTGGTGTGTTTCGGTGGCACCAGGCCTTTTTGGAGGGCCGGGAAGAGGTCACTGATGAAGACCGTGCTGGAAGACCTTCGACTTCGACAAACACCGATAATGTGACTCGTGTGCGCAAAGTTTTGAACTCAGACTGTCGACTAAGTATTCGTTTAATTGCCCAGATGTTAAATTTGCTAAAATCTGTGGTTCATGACATTGTGACACAGCATTTGGACATGCGCAAGGTGTGCGTGAAGATGGTCCCAAAAGTACTCACTGACGACCAGAAATGGTGGCGAGTGGAAGTCTGCCAAGAAAATTTGAACATTTGTGAAAGTGACCCCCAATTTTTGAATAACGTAATCACAGGTGACGAGTCGTGGATCTTTGAGTATGATCCCGAGACTAAGAGGCAATCTAACGATTGGCTCAATAATTTTTTTTAAATCGACTCACTCCTATTACTTTCCGCACAAACCCTGTACACGTCCGCACAGCCCGAGGGATGCGAGACGAATCATTCGCGATGTCCTTATGCGCCTTATGATTATCTTCAGGTTGTAGCGCTTGTACCCCTTGATAAGGATAAGGATAATACTGCCCTTGTCGTAATATCTTCCACACTTTACTATGGGAAACTTCAACTTGAGCTGCTATGTCTCTAGTACTCATTGTTGGGTCATCTTCGACCATTTTTTAAGTATTTTAAGTATCTTCCTCAATTTGTAATATATCAGGTTGAGCAGGTCTTCCAACGTGACATCCTCGTTGTTTTTTTAAATATGTATTCTGTGTCATGAAGTCTAATAACAAAATTTACAAACATCCGTGGGGCCGAATGATTTCTTAAAGAAAATCCTTCCGCATACAACCTGCATGCTGCGGCTGCATTTTGTTGCCACTCCCCGTATGTTAGAATTATGTTCACTGGTTCATTGTTTTCGTAAATATGGGTCATATTTTCGTACAAAATATGCAGACAAATGAAAATATATGCACTATTAAAAGAGTGATACAACTGATTGAACCAAAGACTGAAAACCCACAAAAGTTTGTCAGAAAACGCTAAGATTTCACACGGCAGTGGTCGAGAATATTAAAAAATCTATGTAATACATAATAACATTCTTATTTTTCAATTTTCAGCCTTTTATTATGCAATTTTTATATAGGTGATTTTTGGTATATTAACTCCTTTCGACGAGTCCTACAAGCAGTTAAAACAAATAACTCAACTTTGAAAACACCCTGTCCAATTGGATTGGAAATAAACAACAGAATGTATAATAAAACTAAGAAGATATTTCATTTTTACCTGGATCGCTATATTTTGGAATGCTCTGTGATATTGAGAAATGTCATACTTCTTATTTGATGTGTTTTGCCCAAAGAAATATACTTTTTGGGTACGGCACGAATCGATTTCGCCAGTTTTTTGATCAGCAACTTTATAGAAATATTCCTAAGCAGCACTAGTTTTCCTTACTTTAGACATTTTCGTTCAGTATTAAGCCTCATGCAACCGAAACAGATCGAGTAAATGTTTTGAACAGCATACATGAAAATAAAAACATCCATCTTGTTACGTCTACAAGACCAGCTTGCAGAAGTGCTGATGTAGTAGGTCAGCATGATATCGGAAGGACTTTGCAAACCTATTTTAGTATTTTTAACCAATAATTTGTCACTGTAACTGTTTACACGAGACGATGTGTCTTTTTTATGTTCTTTCTGGAGGAAGGGGGGGGGGGAGGATAATCAAAACGAAAATATTGAAAGCGAGTATGAAATTTTTATTCATCATGCCTTAATATGTTACTGTTCAAGACCATTTGAAATACCAATTACATGCATCAAAAATTGTTATAAGTATACCTGTTAAATATACGAATACGTGTTCAGTCACCATGCCATTCATGTGTAATTGTATAAAAAAAGTGATATACTTGTGTGCACACGTCAATAGATTTGCTTGCAGACGACGTACTCATCTGCACAAAATACACCCGATGGTGCAGGCGAAGAAATGAAGTCCAATAACGCCGAAAGTCCTATATCAGTCGATCCCTCATTTTAATACAAGCCTTTTGTAGATTATTTAAAAATGTCAAGTGGATACTGTGTTCAACTGCTGTTGTTTTCAATTTTTTAAGATTCTTGTTGATACCAATGGTGAATGACCTTTGAAATTTTATGATGCCTGAATATGCTACTATAAAAACTTGTTCCTAAAGAAGTATATAATAAAATTAGTTACAGGTTTAAAAAATTATCAATCAACGTTTGTACATTCACCATGTTTTAAAATCACAAGCTGAGTATGCTTATTTTAGTGCGTATGTTGTTTATAACATTTACATGCAATAAACATAATTTATTACACCATAACAAGTAATGTACTGAGTGTTTCAAATTGGACCCTCTCCATAAGGATCTCGGAAACGAAGTCGCTTAAATTGGGGCAAAGTTACTTATTTTGGTTATTAACCGAATGCCACTTCGAAACTTTAGGAATTCAAAGTACTTCCACTGACAATGCCGAACTTAGTTATTTCAAGAAAACAGAATTTCTTTAGTATGTTTTGAAATAATCAGACAGTCATTTGTTCCATCATCCACTTTGTTTCGTCTTAAGGACGCTATATTGGCATTTTGTACGTTTAAATGGACTACTGAGTCCTTAATTCAGTGATGTATTTCCTTGGTTGGCCATGAATTTGATGTTGAATGAAAATTATAAGGAAATAAAAAGGTATGGTGAAACCTGAACACAAAATGAAAATTTTATTGATGGTAATAACAATAATAATCATAAATAAGCAGAGCTAAATCTTCCCAGTCTTCCAAACTCTGTTACTACACTGATAGTAACAGAGTTGCAAAACTTCCGTGCAAGGATGCCAAAAGCTTCGGAAAGTTCCTATTTTTCATGCCTAAATGATGTCATATGAAATTTTTACCCGACCCCCCTCACCTCATTGGGCGTAGCCAGCAGTCCTTGGAGAGGGGGGGAGGTTTCAAAACGAAAGTGCCGCAGACTGAAAATTGAAGAGGCGCATGCTGCTAGTTTAAAAAAACCAATTTTATAAAAAAGAATAAAACAGTTAAACTGATTTACAGTTCGCCTTTTGCTGCTAGCATAATTGGACATACAGGAAAATAGACGTTGGATTGCGACTAGGGAATAGGTTTTTTTTAGTTTTTTAATTATTTAATAAAATTGCCTCTAGCTTACTGATGTCAAGTCATCCAGCTGACCAGAGTATTAACCATCTGAATCGTTTAACCTGACACTTAGGAAGAAAGGTGGAATTCTCAGGCGTTGAACGATATCTTTAAGGTATTACAGGTATTACCTTCAATAAATATTCGAAAATGATCAAGTTTTTTAAAAATTGCTAAAATAAAACCCTTCTTTCTAAAAAGTTCCTCTAAATATTAGGTTCTGAGAAAGTTCCTCCACGATCCAAAAAGCTCCGCAAAACGCAACTTATTCCGCGGATTTGCAACACTGGTTACTATGTTCAATTTGAGGTTTGGTCTGGTATACGAAACAAATGACTTTCTTACAGTTTGAGGGCCTACCTAGGAAACTCCGTTTTTCTGGAGTTATTAAGGTTTGAAAATTCCAATGTATTATACACTTTTGAAATCATCTAATAATATGCGTAAAAATTCAATATGACAAAAATCCAATATGGCGTCTATAAGAAAAAATAAAGTTGATGCTGAAGGACAAGAGACGAAACCTCATATTGAAATTATAATTATGCCATTTTGTAGGGAGAAAAGGTTGCAATTTTAATGGGCAATTTATTTTGAAATTGCACTGCAAATAAAGTCAGGAAAAAATTAAAAAGGATTTTAGAAATATTCGTTTTTTTCGGTCTCTCTTCGGAAGTACTTTGATTTTCACAACTTTCTAGGCGGCATTTTGTTACTTACCTATATACGCAACTTTGCCCCTATTCAAGCGGCTCCGAATCTCTTACTGTTTTCGAGATTCCAATGCTAAGGGTCTAATTAGAAAGACCCTGTATGTATTTTCGTTGTATTCTCAGTAATCAGCCTAGATGCTTAATTTTCTGTGCTGAATCAGTGTTTGATATATCGTTCATCTTTTTAGGCTTAAGCCATAGCGAGTTAGGTTTGATCGACGGCATTGACATGTGGTCCTCAATCTCAACGGACACTCCTAGTCCAAGGACTGAAATGCTTTATAACATTGATGATGTCCAGAAGTATGGTGCTGTAAGAAAGGATAACTGGAAATATACCTATGGATCTACCACTAGTGTAAGTTTCGACAATAGTTATTGATTCAGATACGCTTTTATTGATAGATTCAATCGTGGTACAAATACCGAATCAGTACCAAACGTTTTTTGAATTATGAGAGTTCAGTTCCATGCTCATGCGCATTTTGAATATCTCTGGCGGGTTGTTGTTGATATTGTTGAAATGTGCAGTGGAAAACAGCATGGAAAACCATAAGCTTTCAAATATGAGAGACAGACTTACGAAAATTGAGGAGAAAAATCATGAACAGGCTACTGGACAGAAGTATAAAGAGAAATCAAAAAGAGTTTACAGTAGTGGCCCAGCACCTTTATAAAAGTAGACTCTGTCTCTCTCTAAATATTGAGATGTACGATAAAAATAGTTTATTTTCTTAACGCATTATAAAACATAACTTCTCTATTAAAATTATGGTTTACTACCCGCAAACCACAAGAATACAGTTATAAATTTCCATGCAGTAAGTATCACCTTCCATTGAGGACTTTTCTGTTTTACATCTACTGATTTGAAAATGTTCAAAATACACTGGGGAAGCTAAACGGGCGTAACATTAACCAATATTAACTTTGTGGAATCTGATAGCATGAAATCAGAGCTCAACAGCCGTTTAAAGTCGACCATTGCACATGTTTGAACTGTGATTCCTACGGCCGATCCAAGAACTGTGAGTGTCAGTTCAGGATTAGCTTAGAATCAGCAAAACTGTTATAGTTGTATTCACCGTTCTTGGCGGTTACGTCATCAACGCCATATGAAATAAGTAAACAAATCGAGTATCCGGAACCATGGGCGGATCTTAATTTTCCTAACTGAGGGAAACCGATTCAAAATTATTTACCAATCGTAATTCTCAAAAATCTTCTAATCTAGTACAACATGGGTAGAGTATGACACGTGATTTGATGTTTTTTAAAGTTGAAATAAAAAATACTTACGGAATTTACAATATACAAAATACTCATAACACATCTATTTGCTAATCATGCACGCCGACGTCAAGTAACTTGTCACTCTGACAGATATCAATGAAGGACACTCATACGTAACGACAAAGTTTTCGAGAGTGCGACACACAACTAAAAAACGTATGTCTTTGAGCTTACCGAACAAACGTTCGAACACAGGGGTAGGTTGCGTGTGTATGTGTGAGGGAGATGGAGATATATGAAGGGATATTGGTAGTCTTACTTTGATCTCCTAAGAACGGTGACTACAACTATACCGCGATACACATGTTTATCTGACAGTTCTGGTTATACCACAAACGCTGCTTACGACTATGTACAGGCGCGAATGGTTCATAACCGTTCGGAACTGGTACCGCGATTAAATCTATCATCCATATAAAGTAAAAACTGTTTTATTTTCAATTACCCAACCGAGAAGTCAGAACGTTAGTAAAGCGACTGTTTGTGGTCTTTACAATCATATGCAGTTGAATCAGAGAGACAACCAAATGAAAAGCTTCGGATGTTTTTTCATAAAAACTTGTTTAATCCTAATATTTATTTTGTCCACTTAAGTCTCAAATAAAGATAACTGTAATCTTTAACTTCGTGGTACTTATCGTATATTTGCGTAGGGAAAAGGAGATGTTTGGTTTGGTCCTACTGGCAAACATGGATATGTCTACGACTTGGACGAAATATTGAAATCAAAAGTTGCAACGACATTGGCTGCCGCAGTAACATTCCAGCAAATTGAAGAGAAGAAAGGAAACAAAAATATAAGGTCAGTTTAGTGAATACCAATTATATGTAGTATGTAGTATGGGTAATAATATTCTAAGTAATAACGGGTGATTTTTTAAGAGGTATAGGATTTGATTTTCAAAAAAATACAAAAAATTTGAAAAAACGATTAAATCTCTATTTGAGTCGATAGAACGGTCGTTATAATTTAACGTTTAAAGATTATTTCATGTAAATGTTGGCCGCGGCTCCGCTTTAGTTGGCCCATGCGCAAGGTCCAATTTTTGCACACTCTCTCCGACAGATCGGCCGGTATCTCAGGAATAAATGCTTCAATATTGGCTTCCAGTGCGTCAATCGTTGCTGGTTTATCCCTGTAGACATTAGCCTTAACATGGCCCCACAAGAAATAGTCCAACGGCGTTAAATCACACGATCTAGGCGGCCAATTGACGGGCCCCAAACGTGAGACAAACTGTTCACCGAACTCGCCTCTCAATAGGGCCATTGTTTCGTGTGCGGTGTGGCATGTGGCACCGTATTGTTGAAACCACATGTCAGGCAAGTCCAGCTGTTCCATTTTGGGCAAAAAAAAGTTTGTTATCATCGCACGGTAGCGCTCGCCATTCACAGTTACGTTCCGGCCATTGTCGTCTTTGAAGTAGTACGGCACGATGATGCCACCGGCCCATAATCCACACCAAACAGTGATTTTTTCGGGATGCATTGGTAGCTCTTGCAATGCTTCTGGCTGGTCTTCACTCCAGATGCAGTAATTTTGCTTGTTAACGTACCCATTCAACCAGAAATGAGCTTCGCCGCTGAACACATGTTTTCGATAAAAATCTGGATCTTCCTCTAACTTTGCCAGCGCCCATTCACCAAATTGGAAACGTTGTGGGAGGTCGTGTGGCTTCAATTCTCGCACCAGCTTTATCTTATAAGGTTTTACACCCAAATCCTATCGCAAAATTTTCATCGTAGTGGAGTAACAGAGGCCCAATTGCTGCGAACGGCGGCGAATCGACATTTCACGGTCATCACTAACACTGGCGGATACAGCCGCAATATTTTCTTCAGTCCTCACTTTCCGTCAGTGTGTAGGTGGTTTAATGTCCAATAATGTAAACTGGGTTCGAAATTTTGTCACAAGCTTCCGAATAGCTCCCTCAGTAGGCCGACCAAATTGCCCATAAATTGGAAGCAGTGCTCGATGCACTCTCTTAACAGAGCATGAATTTTGATAGTAAAATTCAATAATTTGCAAGCGTTGTTCGTTCGTAGGTCGATTCATGGTTAAATTATAGACCAAACTGAACAAGTTTAACAATGACACAAGACACGATTCACGCGTCATCTGTCAAAAACAGTGTTGCCAAAAAGATACTAGCAAAAAAATCACCCATTACAATAGTTATTTTGAAATTGGACGTTTTTATTCAACATTTCAGTGAAACAACAAATTAATATCATATACAGGGTGACTTTGAAGTTGAGTCATTAATTTTCAGATAATGATTGTATGTGTGTATGTGTGTAAAAATAAAAAAAAATAAAAAAAATTTTTTTACCTTGTTTTATAAAGTATCCTCTCGACAAGTATTTCAGTGCGGACCTGTATTTGATCGTGAGGTCCCCTGTGAGGTATTAAGTCACCTGATTCACGAGCCCGTTGTACTACATTAACAAAGGCACGAGGGGTTGGTTGCACTCGATTGGGAAACCGATCCGCATAAACATGTGCCATTTTTTATTTCGTTTGAGCCACGCAACAGACACTATTCACACGCGACACTGACACTGACTGTATGTATAACTGAACTGAATAAAATAATAAACTGTACACAAACATCGTTCCAAATTCTTTCGCTTTTTTGTTTCCGATGCGATGAACCGGTAAGGCGGATTATATCCGTTGTTGCCAAACACGAGCACATGATATTGAGACAGGGCGGTAGTCAAACTTCCAAAGGGCTATAACTTTGTTACTTTAATTTTACCAGAAAAATGGTAAAGGAAAAAAACATTTCTTTTGATCAGATCTATTCACTTTTAAAATAAATGACTCAACTTCGAAGTCACCCTGTATGTATTTAGAATGCCAATAAATAAGTAGTAGAAGTATCTCACAGCCGGTGTGCTATATCTTAACATATCGTAAATTAATAAGTATACAGGGTGTCCCGAAACAAGTGTGCAATATTCTACCAGCGGTTTCTAGAGCTTAAAATGTGTTGAGATAAAGACATAAAGTTTGGTATCCTAGCCTAGTTTTTTATGCTGGATTGAAAAATATTAACAATTGTAAACAGTTTTGTTTGGAAGCGTATGTAAGAGGATTTTTGAAATTCAATTTTAGAATTTGTAAATTTAGGGTTTTCTATATAAAAAAGGTAATCTTATTGAATATCGATAAATTGTGCCATTTTTAACTAAAATCAAACTAAAAAATTTGTCACATGATAGGAAATGTACTGCGAATTTAAATGAATTGTTGATTATAAGGTACATAGTTAGCCATGACTGCAAACAAAAGTTGTTTTGATTTGTTATGACTTATTTTGACGTTAAGCTGATATTGTTAGCAGTGTAAAATTACTAGGTTAAAATCAAAATTTTTATTAAATCGATTTAAACGCCAAGATTTACAGACAGAGAATTGACTGACATGCATTTAGTGTACGGGTTTTGCAATGGTAGGTCATTGGCAGCCGTAAGAGAATATCAAAGAAGATTTCCCAATCGCATAGTACCTGGACGTCGCATGTTTACTGATATTCACCGGAATTTGACAAACCATGGAAGTTTTCAGCGCATGCAGGGCTCAGGAAAGCCACTGGGAAATCATCGTATGGATATTGCTTTAAATATGTTTGAAAATAATCCGCAAATAAGCATACGAATTGTTTCAGAAATTATGGATATACCTCGATCAATAGTAAGAAAAATTTATGAATACCTATTTAATAGTTACCCTAAAAATAATAATTTTAGATAGGAAGAATGACAAGAATGCAGGGATTACATCCTTATCATTTTAAACGGGTGCAGCATTTAACGAAGGCAGATTTTTACCACGAATCGAGTTTTGCCAGTGGATATTAGCAAATGAAAACACTATTCCTAGAATATTATGGTCGGATGAGTCAATATTTACTAGGAATGGTGCTTTTAATTTCCATAACATGCATCACTGGTCAGATGAAAATCCAAAAGTTGTTCGCCGTACAAATTTCCAACATAGATTTTCATTGAACTTATGGGCAGGAGTAATTGGGGATCAAGTAATTGGGCCTATTATACTTCCCAATCGTCTTAATTCAGAGGTGTATCTGAACTTTCTTCAGAATGAGTTCCTGGATATAATACCATTGGATGTGCGCCAGCAGTATCAAGAAAATATGTTTTTTCAACATGATGGCGCCCCTGCACATTTTGGACCCAATGTTCGAGATTGATTGAATGTCAATTTTCCAGACAGGTGGTTAGACCGAGGAGGTCCTATAGCGTGGCCGCCACGTTCACCTGACCTAAATCCATTGGATTTCTATTTTTGGGGGTCATTAAAAGACCTAGTTTACTCGACTGAAGTAAATACTCAAGAAGATTTACTTCAAAGAATTCATCAGACTGCAAATGAAATAAGAAGAAAAAGGTTTTCCACTTTTCGGGCTACGCAATCATTAGTTCGTCGAGCGAGACTCTGTATCCAACAAAATGGGAATTTATTTGAGCACTCATTGTAAAGCTAGTTTTAAGTATATCCAACTGTATGTCTTCTTTTTTAAAAAAAAATCAATTTCGTTCGTAGAAAAAATTTATTTCTTTTGTTTTTGCCTAATGTTAACTATGTTGCAATAGAAATATGTATTTATGTAATATTTACCAATTATTAAATTAGTTTTTTCGTTGCCATAGATAATTATTCAAGAATTCATTTAAATTCCTTTTTTATGTAGAAAACCCTAAATTTTCAAATTCTAAGATTGAATTTCAAAAATAGAATCACACAAAAATTTTGGGGCTAAAGTAACCTGAGTTCGTCCCTGTTACATACGCTTCCAAACAAAACTGTCTAAAATTGTTAATATTTTTAAATCCAGCATAAAAAACTACGCTAGAATATCAAATTTTATGTCTTTATCTCAAAACGTTTCGGAAATATTAAGGAAAAGCCATCTTCAGGGGAGCCCCTTTAAAAGACAGTAGCGCCCTTAGGGGACGTTTGTCGACCTATGTTTATATAAACTTTTCTTCTTATTTTAAGCTCTACAAACCGCTGGTAGAATATTGCACACTTTTTTCGGGACACCTTGTATATTCACAGTACTATAATACTTGAAGTAAAACATAACACAAACAAATCTGAATCAAGATGATCATTCTAAGAAAACGCATGTCGAAATGCAGTAAATGACATTAAATGTAAATACACGATGCAAATGCCTTGTTTATATTACCTTAGTCATTTTGGTCGGACCAGCAGCTCAGCACTTTGGCGCCAGACACCTCATGTCAAATTCCATTAAACTGTTTGAGCAGTAGCCCATAAAATAGATATTTAATAGTTATCCTGAGTGATATTCCAGACTATAATCTATCTCTAGCATGATGGAGTAATAAAAATTAACTCTTTCTCATGTATAACATTACTAGGGATACTTTTTCAAACTGTTGTCTTATACATACTTTATGAAAAGTACCTATATATTTTCACACATCTATCGATTTTGTTGCAGCGTTGAGCTACTGACCAGCAAGAAAATTCAAGAACTCCGTGATGAAGCTACGGTCAAATGCAGACCTCCTTTGGATCCGTCTACAATCCCGGAAGAACGCAAATGTGACCTTTTGGAAGGTCCTTGCTTATTTGATATCGAAAAAGATCCCTGTGAAATGGTCAATTTAGCCGAAGATCTGCCTGTCATTGCTTCAGATTTGAAAAATATGATTGAAAGGTAAGTAAACAGTATGAGTCTTGCTAAGTTTTTGATAGCAATCCTGAGCCGCTTTCCAGTGCTTTTGTATTGAGAGTTGTATGCATCCTGCTATAGAAAACCATAGATCAATTACTTGACATATTTGATATGAATGTGACTTATATTAAGATCCTCTGCAAATCTGTTATATAATTGAAGACATAAGTGGATTAAGGTGTTATGTCACAAAATGCATCTTCAGAGATATTTAGGAAAACGTGATTTCATTTGTAACTTTTTCCATTATTTTACGATTCTGATTAAAATCACTTGTTCGATATGTTGAAGTACGGTATTTATATTGTATTAGATTAAGGACACTGAAACATTATTAGTTTATTAGAAAAACTGCAAAAATGTACATAACTCCTTTATCCATTGAAAATTAAACTGTGGTAGAATAACAAGATACGTGAAAATAAGTGTCATTATAAACAGATAATAATAATAAAGTGTACAATATCATAAGATACATGTTGAAAGTGTCATTCTTTTCTTCTTTGGATGCGGTAAGTTCTTCTGTATTATACTTTCGTATTACAATTCGTATTCTTCATCTACTAGCTTTATTTCATCTTTGAGGTTTTGTAGTGTTTTATAGTTACACCTCCAAACCTTTCTGTTGGCCGACACTCGGAGCGGTCCCGGTTTTCTGCATTTTTCTTTCTTAAATCAACGTCAAGGGATGGCATTTTTTACACCGATTTTTGAACTGCCTACGGTTAGTAGAACTGAGAAAAGCCTCCTCATGTAGACTGTTTCACAATGTCGATACCCTAGGAGTAGCAAATTCAGCTCTTAGAGATAAAAGAGCGATCGTCTCGGCCAGTTCTGGATGTACGAAGTTCGGTTAGGATGGGAGGCCATAGTCAGGCGGGTCTGCCTGGTAGGCACATCGCGCGACGGTATTATGCAGGAGAGCTCTCCGTAGCAAATCCCATTGGCGTAGTGGTAGAAGAAGATCGCCGTCGGCCCGCTGATGCGAGAGGGTCTCGAGACTGTCCGTTAGAGAAGAGGAATCCATCTACTGATCGAAAGCTCTCTGCTGAACAGCATCGAGTATGGACAATGTAGTACTCGAAGCTAGGTCTTATCTGTGCCTTGTACAGAATGCGGAGGTCATGTAGAGAAAAGTACCTCTTAGCCCTAAACAAATAGCCTAGCTTTTTCCCAGCAGCTGCCGCTATTGACGAGATGTGTACGTGCCAGATCAAGTCCTCGGAGATGTGGATGCCGAAATTCACGACTATTTGGTAGAACTCGCCCATCCATCGAAATATGAGGAGCGCTTGGCCGATTCTTGTTTTGGAAGCATAAAACAGTACAGAATTGGTGCGTCCTCAAGCAGTGATAACCTCGCCAGAAAGGATAAGTCGCTGCTAGTCTTCCTTTCTTTAGCTCACCGGCAGAGATCGGCTTGTTACTCTGGATCCGTGCATGTCATCAGCAAAGCTGTGGATCGGATTGGTCATACAGTACAGGAGGTCGTTGATATGTGAGAGAAACAATTTTGGAGCCAAGACCGATCCTTGGGGAACACCCGAGTTGAGATTGTAGGATGAAGAGGTGAAGAGGTAAAACCGTCTATTGTTATTAACACAGCCACAAAGGTGGCATGTCATCAGCAACTAACTTATCTATCGATACTTATTTAGTTGATAGTGGTTTTATGTCACATATTAGGATATAGCTAGCTCATTTATCAACTGAAATAATCGCAAATTCACTTGACATGCCACCTTTGTCAACGGAAATTATCTTTTTACAAAGAATTATCAATATATATCACTTCTAACAGGTTACATAGGTATTCGAAGGGGCAAAAAATCGAAAAAGATAACTTTGGTGAGAAATGTGACATGACACCTTTATCCACTTATGTCTTCAATTGTGTAGTTCCTTAAATGATATATTTGTTATGTACATATATTACTACATGTTTGTACTGTGTAAGCTGTTGTTTTTTCACCATTAATTGGTTGATCTGTTGGTGGTGAAATAAATAAATAATAATGGACGGCAATTATTATTTAAGAGAGACATTAGAGCTACGAACAAAGAAATTAGATGATTAAGTCGGTTGTCTGAAGCCAACTCTCACACGATTAGAGGCCATGTCAGACTCCAAATGTGTACATGATGAATTGTTTGAGTATGTTGTAGAGGAAGTGTGTGAAAGAGAATAAAAGAAGAAGAAATCTGTGGATTACCAGAAGCAGATGTCGACTATTTCGACTTGGTTTTGTGAAAAAGATGTTTCTTTTATCTGTTGTTCTCCTTACGCAACAATACTGCGGCATTTCAGAAACGAAAATACATTTTCTAATTTTTTTCTGTAGATATAGGCGTTCAGCACTACCGCCTAGAAACGTACCAAGAGATCCAATGGCCGATCCAAAATTATGGAACAACACGTGGACGAACTGGAGAGATGAAGAAGAAATTAGTAAGAGGAGAATGATTGTCAACGACATGTCGCCTTTGGCTGTTGGAATAATTGTAGCTGCAATCATTGCGGTTAGTTGATTTTTTTAACTTGATTCCTATTTTTGAGAATAGTCTTAGCTCTACGAGCACAATGGGCAACGAAAATTAAAAAAAAAAATCTCGACAAAGTTTTGGTCAGCCCTGAGGCCCCTTCAGCTGCAGGTCTCGAGCTGCTATGTGCCCAGGGGCCACTACATGGATTAAGAGGGCTCTGATCGAGAATGATGCCATTCTCTTCAGCGCAAACTCATGAGAAGAATCCCCGCGATACTGTGAGCATCCGTCAGCATTCCACATCCCTGCAGCTTAAAGTATCGTAGTAGCAGTGAGATCTTGAGCATAAATACTACTTTTTTTTCATACTTGCGTTACCAGGCATACCCGTAGGTATGAATCCATCAAGGAAGTCAAGGGAATGTGTTTTTCCAGGAAATGTTGATTTTGTATGAATCACATTGTACTCCTTTGCGAATATCTGTAAAAGTTGCTACAAGAGAATCATGAGGACGAAGGAAGGACACTTGTAACAAACGTTCAGCAAAGTGACAAGATTATAGTAGTCAAATATTCACAAATAATCTTTTTCCTTGCAGGTACTCTTATTGGTAGCATTCCTGCTGACTCTGCATTGCAGAAAGCTGCGTCGCAAGATACCAGATCCGACAACCTTGGTAGAAGAAAGTTACCAAGATCCTCCTAATGACACTATTAGAAAGAACAATGATCATCTTTTTGAAGACAGAGAACTTCAGGTGCGAGCATGCTTCAAAGATGAACTCAGGACTATGGAATAAGTTTTCTTTTTGAAAAAATTGGTAGCTGTTATGAAGAGTAGTAAATTTGTGAAAGAAAGAAGAGTGCTTTGATTGAAACCATATTGAATCAGAGTTGGTAGTACATTTTTGATATGTCGTGATTATTGCGCAATGATGAAATTTGAAATTATATTCTGAATCCCTGGAACCAAAACATTTAATGGTTTCCGCCTAAGAAATTAATGGACTTAATGTAAAACATCATGTTTGAAAAATAATATACAAATATTATGGTAGATTTTTGCCTACACCCAACACCAGCGTATGATATTAACAGCGATTCAGCTTAAATTGTATTGAAACGATAGAAAACTTACAACTTGCAAGTACTTATATCTGTATTTAAAATTTTAGACTGTGATAAGTAGTTGATAAGGAGGAAATGATAAAGTATCGAACTGTTAGGATCTAGTTGTCAAGTAGCTAAAGCGATCATTTCGGTTAGTGGCTAGCGTTATCAAACTATTCATTTTATGAATATGAGACAAAGAATCATTAGGTTGATCTTTTGAACAATTTTCGGAAAAATCATTCGTTTTGGAGAAAATTGTTAAAAAAATTATCCAAGGAATTATCTTGAATTTTTTATTATGTTTTGGAAACACTATTCTGTATTTTTTATCGCACGAAAATATTTTCATGAAACAGTATTGTTATCAAAAACTTTTACACTCTGTTGATGTACAATGAGACATCTAAGAGTGCGTGATCTCTTGGTATTACCGCGACTGTAATTGGTCTATCTATAAGAACTTTTGTATGGCTGTATGAAAAAATAAAGTGTTATAATTATCGAATGGTTCTTTGATTTAAAAGCACTCTTGGAGTTAGTAAAATTTCCTTATACAGTCTGATACCACACACAATATTATACGATTCAAGCATGACAAACAGGGTAAGTTAGAGTAGCTGGCGGCACTTGTTCGGTGAGGTCCGTCCAACAGTGTGTACTTCAATAAGCGGTAGGATGAGATGGTTTTCTTTTACACCCGAGCAGCCGCCTATGCAGAAGCCTAAGTACGAGGACACCGCGGCTGCTATGAGGATCCCAAAGAAATTTTGAAAATCCGATTTTTGAACTGCCTAAGGTTAGTAGAACTGGGAAAAGCTTTCTCTTGTGGATTGTGCCACAATCTTGACAACCTCGGGACAAAGCAGCGGTCCTATCGGCCAGTTTTGCACGTATGAAGTTCGACATGTGAGGTGAGGACGGGACGCCGAAGTCAGGCGGGTCTGTCTGGCAGAAACATTGCGAGGAGGGAGGGGGGGGCGGGTCAGTACCCCGTGTGAGTAATACTCGAGGCTAGCTCTTACCTGGGTCTTGTATAGAGTGAGGAGGTCATGTGGAGTAAAAGTATTTCTGAGCCCTAAACAAATACCCTAGCTTTTTCCCAGCAGCTGCCGCTATTGACGACATGCTTTCGTGCCGGTGATTACGACTTCGACCAGCCGAAGTGAACGGCTTTTTGGCAGAACTCAGCCATCCATCGAAACCGGATAAGCGCCAGGACGCTTTTTGTCCTGCCAATTACGACGGTTAACTTACGGCCAGAGAGAAAGTCAGCCACCCATCTGCAAAGCTTTTCTGGGAGACCAAAGGATGGAATTTTGCAAAAGGCATGACCCTCACAAATAAGATTGCATGAGTTTAATCCACAATTGCGTGACGTGAGCTAGGAAGTCTCCTGTGGATCGCTGGTGCCGCAAACCATACCGCCTATCGCTAATCAAACCGTGACGATTGAGGTAGTCCAGATGCTCGCGATTTAAGAACCTCTCCATCCCCTTACTTATAACAGAAAGCTATAGGTCTGTAGTTGTAAAGGTCGGTCTTGGGGGATGGGTTGGACATGAGCGAATTTCCAATTTTCTGGGAAGGTGCCGGGTTCGTAAGATATGTGGAAGAGACGCGAAGGAACTGGAGCAAGCTCCGCTGCACACTTCTTCAATAAAACGCAACGGCAGGAATCAAGTCCAGACCAGAAGCTTTGTTGATGATGTCGAGCGACAAGAGCACCCGTCTTATCATCTTATGCCTCAATGTTACTTTCCGCATAGTGTAGACGAGACGGCACTCCGGAGTTGGCGGAACGTTCATGGTGGAGTTAGCAGCAAAGACTTCGATGTTACTATTTACGCTTTCTATGAATCTTGAGTTGTGTATTTTTGATGCTGATACATTGTATTGCCTGTTGAAATATAAATATGCTCAACCAATTAATTCAGTCATGAATTATTCCGTGCAGCAAGACACGTTATCAAAGCTGCACCTTTATTTGTTGACTCTTCTAATCAGCAGTGATGTAATATTACATTATTGAATGATTATGAAACCTCGCTACTCATGTTCTTTTTATTTTTAAGTCAAGTAGTGCCGATATTTGCAGAAACATTTATGTTGCAGTGATTTTCCATTTCTTGGTCATTTTACAATCACTAGCTTATCATTAACACTTAAAATCATATTTTGCAGATGGGTTTAATTTGTCAATAAGTTTTGAAAAACCCATTTTGTTAGGTGTTTCCTTAAACGTTAGCAGCTAACATAATATGGTATTCTTTTGATCAGATAAAGTTTCGTTTTTTCCAAGCTTATTACGGTACTCCTTTTGAATAGGCTGCTTTTTGGATGTACAAAGTTTTAAAATGGAATTACAAACCTGAACTCATACCATGCCATTACTGATTTTGAGCATACGAGGGTCGCTGCAGGCTGCAATGAAGCGCAACCTGGAAGACCAGCATTCAACGACATTCTGGAGCTGTTAAGGACATACAGGGTGTCCCATGTCAACTGCAGCGATTAATTACTGTTGTTAGACAGCCATGAAAATTGGATTTGGATACTAAGCAAGATTTAAGAGAGTGGTTTTTGAAATGTGTGTAATTCATTGTCCTGCATATGAAGTGTATGAATCTCTGATTCTCAAGTAGAATCAAAAAAGTTTAACATATACATTTTAAACAGAAACTGTAATTGTCACAATTTTGTAAATATTTTAGTCTAATAGTTTCCATCAATTATATTTTAAATCGAAAATGTCTTACGCCAATTTTTTAGTAATTAGTCACTGTAGCTCTACGAAGGATACACTGGTATATTATGATAATGCAACATATATCTACTTCTCAGGTCAGTTACGAGAAATGGTGTGCTTGTGAAATGTCTCATTCAACAAATTATTACATTGCTGAATCAAAAGTCTATTCATATTTATCCCATTGAATTGTGGAACGGAAAAGTTAATACAACGGTTTGTAGCACTCTCAATTTTAGCTTTAAGATTTTTGCTATTATTTGTATTCAAGGAGCTTGGTCCATCAACTGGTCTCCAATTACGGGTTTGTCATGTTATTTTAAATATCGAAAAAAAAATTGTCCACCAGATTAAGATTTTTTTGAGCCAGCTGAGGTGCCTGCATCTGTGGAATCAGTAACAACATAATTTTATAGGTTCTTAAAAGCAGTGCTCAGCGCCATATTCATAATGAGGCTCTATTACATCCGTTCTCAAACAAGTTTCATCCAGCACCAAACAATGTATTAACGTAGGTAGGTACGTAAGTTTCAATTTTCGCTTAACATTTCCCCAAAAGCACAAATTACGACTGTTCTGCACGAACATCCTCTCCACCAAAAAAACACGTTCTACATATTTAACCCTTACACCGACCTTTAAATTGTCGTATCACGTAACGGAGTCCAGAGAGTACCAACAACATGCTTTAAGCAGGTACAAGAATGTACATGTGCGATATTTATCTTTCTATAGCATAATGCCAAATCTACGTTTTCTCTCAGTCTAGGGAAAGTATGCACTATCTAACAACACCGCATTAGGGTGTATGGGAATGTCCCTCATCTAGCAAGTATTAACCCCCTAGGTCTTCAAATAAAGGAGATACCTATTGAACCTCATGTAATTCCAGATTTCACCGTACCCTATAGTCGTCGAACAACTACTTATTGAATGGCCCCTGTATATAACAATCGTTTCCGATCTCTTGATTCCCGCTGTTTCTAGGAAATATCAGATGTTCGAAATGGATATATAAGCAGCCAGCCACTTGTCGGAGGATCAGCATTACATTATTCAGCAATGGATATATGAGCGAAGCAATGCCGTTGCGAACCTGTGTGAACAATCCGAACAGTTTCTGTTATATATGTGGTGAGGTGACTCTGAAAGCTCAGCGAAAGACTTTGAGCCCACTAGTAAGAAAAACCTACAAGTTATATCCATGTTCAAAGTTGCCGATCAAGACAACACTTGGGCTCCCAAAACATGCTGTCGCACTTGCTCATGATGGCTACGGGGTACTCGTACTCACACTTCTATGACATTTGGAGTGCTAATGATTTGGCGGGAACCTAAGAATCATGTTGATCATTGTTACTTTTGTTTAACAAAAACTCTGTGATTTTCTAGTAAAAGCAAGCATAAAGCATAAAATGGTGTATCCTAATATCGCCTCAGCCAGTAGACCTGTACCTCATGACTCTTCTAGCATACCTGTTCCTAAGCCTCCAAAGAAATATGATGAACCAGATAATTTTGACGCAGAGGAGCCAGAAGTCTAAGTTTTTTAAGAGTAAGTCGTTTTCGAAGGCACACTGGTCAAAAAAACTTCATGTTCAGGAAGATGTTCTTCTCGCCTTCGGAGGGGGGGGGGGGGAGGGGAGGTGACATCAGTGCCCTCTGACATAAAAATTAAAAACTTGACTGGCGGACGGATGGCAGATGACAACCCTACCCTTGTACCTTCAGGGTAGAGCCTGAAAGTGATTAAAATATTAAATCTAATTTAAAAATGAACAATTTATTGTTAAATAACAAAATTAATTCTTCTTTTTTGTCTTCTGGCGAATCGATTAATACTTACCATCTCCTTTGAATCCAGTGCAACAACTTTTTTGTGCTTTTGTCCGTCACAGTAGCGGATTTAAGTAATGGCAAAATGGACATTGCCGCCTGGGCCCCCCCAGGAAAGGTGGTCACAGGGCTTCCCAGCAAAAATCAGGTCTAGTGTCTATATTGTTCAGCGCATCTCAATGTAAAATTGATAACAAAAAATCAGAGTGTTGTTATATTCTTTTAATGACCATCTGCGTAATGTTTATGAAACAGCGCGTTAGCATTTTGAATAAGAAAATTTCCTTTTCATTTCTTAACAAATTTTTTGAAAAATGACTATTTCATTGCTAAAAAATTCTACCTTTTATTGCTCAAGGAGTGGAGGGGTTATTTTTTCACAATGCTGTGCTTTTTTTATTTGATGACATATCTATTTTCTTCGTTATAATATCGTGGAAGACATTTTTTGAATGTATTATCAATTGCAGAGAAGATGAAATTTCAAGAATGCTTCTGGCGAAGATATAATGAATGCAAGATCTCTCCTTCCCTCCATGAACTGGACCTTTTTTTCAATTTGTTATGGTGGCATTCAGTATTGAGCGTAATGAATACCGTGCAAGTTCAAATGCAAAAGAAAGAAATAGACTTGATGATGGCTCAAATAATGTGCATTTCAGCCGCATTAAAAAAATTAAAAGATTTGAGGAGTGAAAGCACATACGATATTTTTTTTCTAAAGGCTAAGAATAAATGGGAAGAGATGGAATGGGAAAATCCTGGTTTTCATGATTGCAAACAATTTTGTAGACAGTTTTCCAGAGAGCTGCAGTTGATTCAGATTATTTTTGACTTTGCCTGTCGGTGCTGAACGTGTCAAGAGCTCTTTGAAAATTATTAAAGAATACCGTCGAGCTTCTTTGGCTAAAGACACACTTAAC